TAAAAAAATAATAATGAGCCAAATAGTATACATAAAAAATATAGTAATAATACCAAAATTAAGCTACATGTTGCAACTAACAAAGATATTAGAGAAATGGATAAATGAAATATACTAACCAATAATATGCTTGGCAAAACAAAAAAGTGGCTTACCAAGAACATTAGAAAACTATATAATAGAACACAAAGATCTTGGTAATTGCAGAATCTTGTAACAAGAACTAATAATAAAACAAATAGGAGGCCTAATAGCAAGACTAAACAGAAAGAATGAACTAGGACAGCTAATAAAACTGAAAATAATGCAGAGTTGTCAAAAAGCAAATTTGATAAAAGACATATAGAAAGTAAAAGAACTGCCAGAAGATAAATTATATTAAAAAAACAATCTAGACTATTTAATGATAGTTAAAGCAAGAGAGTTAGGCATAAATATAAATATAGAAAATGAACTATAGACAACAAATAGTTATATTTTAGAGTAATCGAACTAGTAAAACTATAACTATAGAAAAAAAGTAAACTCAAAATAAGTAAAGCAAGACTTATATATTTAAACCAACTACTCAATACAAAAAGAAAAAAACTAATAACATGGCAGCAATTCAAGACCTACCAAAATCAGTCAAGCAAAGGCAAAAAGACAGAATAGTTCAAAATAATAGAGACAAAAGTATTTAACAGAATCAAAAACAGAGAAGTTAAGGAATAATTTAAAACAGACAGGTGTAACATGCAGGCAATGAAGATCAAGTAAAGAACTCTGTCAAAGAATAGAAGAAAAAAAAAATAGATAATACATAATACAACAGAAAATAGACAAATAGGAAAAATAGTCAAAAAGAAGAAAAAGAAGCTACTAATAGAATATTGGCAAATGCATAATATAGAAAGTAACTTAATACCAAAAATTAACAAATGCAAGGAGTGTTTAAGAAATGAAGAAACAAAAAAAAATAGCTGCTAATATTGGATAAGAATCAACAATAATATAAATACAGTCTCAGACATGCTAATAGGAAAGAACAATAATATAATCAAAGCAGCTACCAACTAATTAATAGGATATATAAAAACTGAGAAAAAATAAACAGAAACTAATAGGACTTAAAAATATTAGAAGGCCTAAAAATAGAACTAATTAGGAAACAAAAAATAAAGGAGAATGTTAGCAAAGAGCTAGTAGAAATCTTAAAAAGAAATATATTAAGAGACAAAAACAAATATACAATATATACAGATAGTACAGCAAATAAAAGAAATGAAAAAGAAGCAATAGACAAAAACATGGATATAAGTTAAATACAAATAGCTAAAATACAAAATTGGTCAGAAGAAGAGATAGTATTAAGAGTAAAAGAATGACTTACATCTACTACAGCTAAGATGCTAGCAATATAGGTAGCATTCTTAACAATGCCAAAAATAAAAAAATTAGTAATATTTACAAATAGCAATGCAGCAATTAGAAATATTAGTAAAGGGTTAGTGTGTATAGATAGAAACAAAGTTCTTAAGAAAAAAATATACTATAAGTATTGAAGATAATAGATATAGTAAAAACAAAGAATATACAAATAAAGTGGATCAAAATTAAAAGTCATAGCAAAAATAGATGAAATGATAAAGCTGATAGTCTTGTGAAGAAAGGAACATTAAGTAGAAAAATAATTTTTCTAGAAGAAGTCAGTTATAAAGAAATAAAAAACTATCTAGAATAGAAAAACAAGTGAATAGACATATCAGCAAGACTTCTATCTAAAATAGTAACAAATACTAGACTAGGAATAGAGTAAAAAAAAACAATAACAATCAAGAATATTGAACCAGAAACAGAAATAATAATATATAATTAGACATACTTTTAAAAAAGACTAGATTCATTTAAAAGAGTATACTGCCTAACAAGAAGAAGCAGTACAAGAAGTAGAGTTTAGGGCATAGAAAAAAAATTGGACATGCCCATATGAGCATGCTCCTGAGCTAAGGCATGCCCCTCATGCCTATGGGCATGCCCTTTTTAAATCATGTAATTAACACATAGTTCACAACTTCTTAAAAATCTTACATGTTGATTTAGTATCTACAGTTCTAGTTTATCTGAACTTATTAGCCAATTAAAATAACTTTAAACATCACATGACAAGGGCATGCCCATAAGCATGCTTTAGGGGCATGCACCATGCCTCTGTGCCCTAAACTCTAACAAGAAGAAGTACTTGTAACTCTCTTTATAGATCACTTATACCAAAATTTTACTAAAAACATTTAATTATTTCTCAAAATTTTCTTAAGTAAACCTTGTTTATATTCTTAAATAAAGTTGTTAAGCTGACTTTTCTCCTCCTAGGTAATTAAGTTTTGGGTTCTTACAACATCTAGCTCTTGTGAAAAATTCTAAAAATCAAAATTTTGATTTTTGCTTATTTATTATATTTTTTACTAATTAAATATACTTTGTTACTTATTAGAAAAGAACAAACTCTCTGTTCTGATCATTTTGATATATAATTTATTATAAACAAACCAAAACTCACTAAGATACAAACAAAAAGGTAAAAACTAAAACCTGTTTTTGCAGGTTTTTTTTATTAACATTTTAGGAAAAACTGTTAGGTTGTCCCAGATTTTTCACTTTTCTGGCACTCATTAAAATTTTCTAAACATCCAATTAGCTTTTACAAATATACTATATTTTATAGATCATTCCTAAATAGTTTGAAAGTCTAAATAATTAAGAAATTTTTTTTATAAACAACATTATATAAATAATTTGTACTATTTAAATTTTATAAACATTATTCTTAAAAATAGTTACACATAATGCCTTAGGTGAACTTCTTAAATAGGTAATATAAAAAAATTACATGTGTAATCAGTTGTATATAAAGATGGAACACTATGTAGGCATTTTTTAAAGCTGTGCAATGCAATTTTCATAATTCTAACCAGCTAACATAGTTCTGACCAGCTTTATAATCCAGGTTTGAATTACCAATCAGAAATCGGTTCGGATCGGCCCGAAAGAAAACAGATCTGCATCACCTGATTAATAGAATCCATCGTTCATAATTCTGGTCAAACTTGCAGAACATTTTGACCACATTTAAAGTTGTTTTGTTCTAGATCTGGCCAAATGATCTGCAAATTTGACCAGAATTATTAATTCACCGATATGCAGAGAAAAAAACGCAAAACAACAAAAACTGACGTTTAAACTAACCTTGAAGCACTAATTAAAAATAATGGGAGCACAACTTTACACGTATAAGTAGATGTTTTATATATATAAACGCGAAACCTAATGGTAAAAGTCTCTAGGGACTGAGGTTATGCAGGCTGCGCAGTAGATTCAAAAAAACCTCGATTTTCCCATCTCTAGTTGTACACTCTTTCTGTACTTTCTGTAGTAGTTCCTATGGAACTATGTTACCCAAAAAAGTGTTAATAAAGTCAAAAGACCAAAGAGGTCACCTTAATACCAAAAAATAATAATAATATGAGCCGGAATTTTTAATAAATTCCGAAATATTCCGATTCCGAAAACTTCCCATGCGCATGAAATTCAAAAAATTGGAATTTGCACATGCCAACATTCCTGTAGCATGCATTAGGTCTAAAGTAGAGTTGGACATTTTATATAAGTTATTAAAATTTAATGCAAGTTACATTTTAGTTTATATAAGTTGTCTTAAAAACTTGGGCTTTAGAAATTTAGTTAAATATTGAGTTCAATGAAAAGTCATCGAGCTTTAAGTTTATTGATTTCAATCTCTAAAAAATTTGATAGCTTGAACCGGTAATTTATAAATTTAAAAAACCGCACCTAACTTCACTAATGAAAAAACAAGATCTACGATAACTTATTCAACTTGCATGATATCTTCCACCGGCCGTACAAGTGGGTCTTATCTATTATATATGATGGATCAATCTTTTTTTGGAATGATGTTACTGAATTAGTTTTGAAATTAATACCATACTGATACGATTATGTTTCATTTGATCCGTTGTTTTCATTTTAATTTGCATATTCAATTTGTATAGGTACAGTACACGTTTTATTAAAATGTAATTATGATTTCACCATATCGACCATATAGTGAGAATTTTATATAGATTGGTTTTTTGAGTTGACTCACTATATCTAGGTTTATTAGACATTACCATTATAAAAGTTTACGAGAGTCGTCGTTCTGCTTTGATCTAGTCTTGTCTACTATTAATTTGAGGAATTTAATTGAGGACATTGTATTAATGTTATTTTGATTTATGGGATAGATAGTATGTCGCATGGTTAAATTTTGGATGTTTCTTCTGGAATAATGGAAAACAAAGTGTTGATGAGAATGAATCTAAAATAAAAACGTAAAAAACCTAATTACAAACGAGTTTTGGGTATTTAGCATATTATTCACATCACTTACAAGAAACACATTTTATCAGGATTATAAGATAATCTTTGCCCGCTCTCATTTTGTTGCAAAGAAACTTGGGCAAGTCCTCGCATTTTCTTCATAGTCCGCATGAGACCGGACGTCAAAATTGAAATATTAGATCTATTAGAGAATATGCTCATTGATAATATATGGTCTTTCCACCTGAATGTGAAATCACTAATAAAATAATTGTTGTTACTCGTATGTACAGATGTAAACAAACTATTTGGGACGTCCCAAACCGTGTGATGATTAGTATAATATTAGTTTCGGTAACTTCTGTTCTTATCGCTGAAACTATGCGATACTAATTATCGCATGGTTTGGGACGTCCCAATTAGTTTGGGTTACATCACTACTCGTATGTATACTGTATTATACCGATTTTGATGATTGCTGATAAATTAAATTATTAATCGTATCTTGTTTTTATAGATACTAGTGTCATGTGAAATTAACCTTTGCTAAATTATTTTACACTGACGAAATGTTTCAGTTTTTTTTGAAAAATAATTTGTGTATAATTTTTTTAAAATTTTATTAATAAATTATTAATCATTTATCGTTTCCACCACCATCTTTTATTTTTTGAATCTTTTTCAATTAATTTATTTTCATCGTCTAATAAATGCTCTTCCCATTCTTTCTGAAAAATTTTCAATTCGTCATTTTCAGATTTTCTTATGGCTTCACGTAAACCTGGTGTATAATTTGGGATTGTTTCTTTCATCTTTTCGTGAAATTCTTTAAGCTATATATGAATGGTGGAGAAAACTGCCATATAAACAATCGAATATCATTTTAGATGTATAAAAAGTAATACCTACACTACTAACACCAAGAATTGATCCGACTCCAATCGCACATAAACCTCCAACTGAGACACAAAGAATTGTGCCAATTGCAAAAGCTTGTATAGAAAAAAAACCGGCTTTTTTATATCTAGTTAGTATTTCTAATTCGGTTAATTTAACATTTTTTGATGAAAAGTCTGATTGAAAAGATTTTGCTGTAAAATATTCGATAAATAATTAGTCGTATAAATCTTGGTATATTTAAAAGTTATAATATATATGGCATTTACTGAGTTATTTACTTTTCCGTCGAGCATATAACAATGAACCAGCTACTCCAATAATAAAAGAAGTAGCGGACAACCCAAGTATAAAATTCCGATGACGAGGCTGAAGAGAAGTAGTAGTAACGGTGGAATTCATTTGATTGGTGGTCTGATTAATATCTAAAGGATTCGATGATTGATTCATTGTTAATTGTTAATGTTAGTTACGTATCTAAGTTGGTCATCGAAATTTTGGGACACATCGACATATATGGGCAGATTTTACCATTCTGTGTGATATAAAATGTGAAAAAAAAATGCAATTTATCATATGATTACACTTAATACTGAAAAAGACTGCTTAATTTCGCAAGTGTCAATGAAGTACGTACGTAAATTTTGATATAAATTCAATCTTTATAAGCACACGTTTTTAATGGTTAGGGTTAGCAAAACTATATTCATTATTATGTAAATTTTTTTTTTTTTTGTCGTTACAGCCTTTATTAGATACATGTTATAAAACAATTTATACTTAGTAATATCGAATAATAAAAAATAATATATTTACGTATCTTACGAAGATTAGGTAAAGTGCACTGGCGCCCGTTTGTTTTCATTTATCTTTTTCTACATAATTGAATAATGCCAGCATAGAAAATATGTGAGCCATTAAAACAATATAGTACAGTTAATTTTCTATATACAGTCAACTCTCCCAAATCCGAACCTGGAAAATCCGAACCCTTAATAACTCTGTAAAAACCGAACACAAAGCTTCAGTAAATTTGTAAATTTTATTAAAAAGTTGGATTAGCAACATAGTAACTCTTTGAAAACTAAACTTTTTGACCGTTCGGAATAGAGTGTTGACTATATATATAAAACCTCTTAGTAATGAACTCTGGATGAACGAACCGTAAACATTTAAATTTTATATTCGGTTTAGTGTGAAAAATATTAAGCAAACATACCTTTATAACGAATCAAAAATTTTGAACTTTATTGATTTCTCTACTTTTCACTTTATTGATAAATATTAGTTATAACTATCATAACTATTTTATAGCAACTAAAGTTAACAATGTAGCGGTAAGACTGGATAATATAATTTCACCATAAAAGATTTATTACATTACCATTTCAATATTTAAATTTTAATCTACTATCAGGGTCACCATGTAAAAAACTTTTAACACTCCATTTTAAATCAAACTGTTATTCACGTGTTTATTTGCTTTGAATAGTCTCTGTCCTGAAAACAGTCTAATTTTATTAATTTTATTAAATGTCCTTCAAACAATTATTAAGGATTTTATAATATTATTATCCTGTAATGTTTTGATAAAAACATGTGGCTTAGATATCGGCTGTGTATCTGCAAAATAACTTTGAACACGTCTTCATTGTTACAGCCACTAAAAATTAAAATCAGAGTATCCTTACCTTTCATGAGATCTGAACTTGTTCGAGATAACAATAAAAAAAGTCTTCGTGATACATAAAGTTGTATAAGAAATTATTAAGAAAAATGAACAGCCTTTCTACATTTCTTCATACTGAACTTTTGCAAATTGTTGATGAATCAAAGCGTAGGCATTCTGATATTAAAGAGGTAAAGTAAAATAGGTCTCGCGATTAAAAAGTTAACGTGGTGGATGACTAATTTGTCAATTCTTGATAATTCAAAAGGCCGCAGAAAAATCGATTATCATCGCAAGATCTCTAATAGAACAACCCGATATTAATGTTTCTAAAGGTGAAAATTTTCAGTCATAGCTCATTCTAGATTCTCATTTTGAATTCTCATTTTGGATTTTTCAAGTTCGATCATGTTTTTTTTTTTAATAATCTTACAGAACTTTCGAAGCACTCTGACTTTTTACTTCCATTTATTCTTGCTTGTGAAATAAAGAATCTTAAATTAATAACTATATCTATAGGCTGTTTACATAAATTGATATCACATCGTGCCGTTCCTGAGGTAGGATCTATTAATGATATTGTGTCTTGAAATTATATATACCTTTGATCTAATAGGATTATATTTATTAGTCTTCCATTAAAACCATAATAAAAATTCTTAATGACTTAGTATTTCAAAGTGTTGAAGTTCAACTCAAAATTTTACAGACTATTACACCTTTGCTAAATAATTATCAATCATTACAAGGCGATCTTCTTATTGAGGTAATAATATCTTTTTATATGATTAATATTTGTCCCGTCATTATATATACTAATGATAAATATCAATGTGTTCAGGCGTTATTAATATGTTTTCATCTTCAAGACTCAAAATTTGTTGTGGTCAGTAACACTGCTGCTGCTACGTTGCGTCAATTGGTAATCAATGTTTTTGAAAGAGTTCTTTTAGAAGACGAAATAAATGACAAAGGTTATAATTTATTTTATGTATGCCATTCTACTGTATCATACGATTGACTATTATTACCTATTTTAATTTGTTCCTTTAATCATTTAAAGGTGCAATAAATCCCAATCCGAGTGTACGATTAGGCTTAGATGTAAATGGTTTGTCTCTCCGTCGATATGCAAGAGATGCTTATTATCTTTTTCAGGATTTATGTTTATTATCCAATGGAGAACAACCTATACTTCTCAAATTAAATAGTATATCAAAAACACTTTGTTGGGAATTAATAGAATCAATATTATCAAATAACTTCAAACTATTCGAATTGGTTCGCATTTTAATCTTTTGTATTTATTCATGTTTATTATACATACGTTGAATTATATATATATTAAAATTATGAACCCTTTTTTCTTTTATGCAGTATCCGGAGTTTACATTTTTACTCAGAGAACATGTTTGTCCTCTCATGTTAAAGAATTTAAATATCAAATATGACTTTCCAACTACTATGAGAATGTTACGAATTGTTTATATTCTACTGAGAAAGTTTAACGAAATTTTGGTATCTATAATATATGTTATTTTGTTAACTATTGATTTGTATTATTATTGTATTATTGATTTTATTAATCAATTAAGCTATTCGATATATTAGGTAATAGAATGTGAAATATATTTCAATATGTTTATAAAATTTCTTGAACCAAATTATCCATTATGGCAAAGAGTTATTTCGATGGAAATATTTCATGGAATTTGTATGGATGGTGCTCTTTTACGTACTGTTTATTATTCTTATGATAAGCAAAATCATTCCACAAGTGTGTACAAGGAAATGATTAATGCTTTTGGTCGATTAGCAACTGAGAAACCACATACGTTAGGTAAGAGTGGTAATTTGCTAAATGGGAATTCGTGTCATTCAATAGAAGATGATGGGCAAACAAACATTGGTGGTCTAAGTATTACGTCCTCAGTAATGAAAATTAAATGGTATGCACTATAAAATTTTTTATTATTTGTATTTATAAAATTATTTTGTAATTTAAAAATCATGCGTATCTAATTGCTTAATACTTATGGATTTTCTTATTTGAATACAAGCATTGATCAGATGGACAAATCAGATCCACCACAAATTCCAGGAACTTATCTTTATTATCTGACTCTTTTATGTCTAAATTCAATTGTGGATGGCCTTCACGATTTTGTAATAAAAAATCTTACAAGTGTTATTCAAGATCAAAAGAAATCAACCTTACAATCGAAGTCTCAAACCCTTGTGGCTGATATGGCAAATACTTCATGGCCTGGATTGCTTGCTGCACTTTCATTTTTCCTTTCTACAAACCTTGATGATGAACTATTTCATAACGTTTTACACGCTTATCAAAATTTCACCATTGTTTGTGGTTTTCTTCATCTTTCAACTCCTCGAGATGCTTTTATAACTTGTTTATGTAAAAGCGCTGTTCCCCAGATTACTATACCACCGTCGGAAAGTAATGCATGTGAAACTGAAAGTGGACATAAAACTAAAATGGAATTATCTGCCAAAAATTTATCGTATCTAAAGTCTTTACTAATCGTTGCACAAACCATTGGAGGTGTTTTAGGTGATTCATGGTATTTGGTATTAGAAACATTACAACTGGTGCATTATAGATTCTTCTCAAAGCGTGCTAAGAAGAAAAAGAATTGTAGGATTAGTATACACCATACCAGATCTGAATCTATCACTTCTTTACCTTCGCAAATAGCTTGTAGTAGTTCTTCATCTCTTAATCAAACAACAACTCCATTAATTGTACAAATAACATATCTGAATCCCTCTGAAGCTACAGATACTTATCCTCAACTATCAGATCATGTATCTCAAACTGAAACATCCATAGTCTCTTATTCTGGATCATTCAAGGATGTATTAAATAGCCTCAAGATGCAAATTATGACATTGGTTGATAATTGCAAGTTTCTTAATGATATAGCTTTACAATGTTTTATACGATCCTTGTGTAAACTTAATGCTCAAGCATGTGGTATTCAACTTAATGATGAATTTCAAGTATCTGGTCAAGAATTAATATTTGTTGACGATTATATGCATAATGGAGCTTTACGTGTCAATGTAAGAATTTAACTTTACAAATTTGCCAAATAAAGGTTTATAATACATAATGCATTGATTAAATTAATTAAACTATTTTCATTTCTAAATTACAGAAGAATCACAAAAAGTCTTTTGCAATTAAAACATTGCATTCGGCGGCAATTTTAAATATGCATCGAATGATCGCGTGCGATCCATCTCTAATATGGGATTTAGTTACATCTCATCTAATCATAATTACGAATCATGTTTCAACTCCTCATCATATTCGTATACAGGCCTGTAAAGCTCTTGCAGATATTATAATTTCAGCTGTTAATTATGTTTCTTTATCACAAATAAAAAATAATGAACGTATTCAATCTCAACTTCTTATTTCTCTTTACCATATGGTTGACAATTCTGAATGGATTTCTCAACGTTCGGGTGGTGGTGTTTATGTTGAAGTTCAAAAAATTAGACTAGAAACACTGTATAAATTATTAGAAACTTCTGGTAGAGCTGGATATTTTTTTACTTTTGGTTGGAATGTTATTTTAGACATTATTAAGAGTGTCTGCGTGTATGCAGGCTCTGGTGAAACCATGGAAAATGATGCTGTTAGCGATGATAGTTTTAGTATATTAGATGAATCAATCTTTTATATATCCGACACAAAAACTTCAGGCTTAGTTCTTGTGGCATTTCCCTCATTGCAGCTTATTTGTAATGACCTTTTATCGTTGCTATCTCCTAAATATTTGAAAGAATTAATCAACACATTAGGTGCATTTGGTTTACAAATGGATGATTTATATATTAGTTTGAAATCAATTGGACTATTGTGGAGTATCTCCGAATTTATACAAACTAAACGTTCTGATTATAATTACGGCATTGGAATGATCAAAAAATATGCTCTTGATACAAATGATATTGACAAAACTATCTTAAGAGAATCTTCATCTATTATGGATGTACTTTGGATGTTATTGTTATCACAGCTTTTAAAAATTTGTTCGGATGCTCGTCCGGAAGTACGTAATTTAGCCATTCAAACAATAATTCGTTCCGTAGCCATTTATGGAGCGGAGTTAAAGATAAGTGCATTGAATATAGGCATGCAAAAAATTTTATTTCCACTTCTTAATTCAATAAGAAATACGTCAGAGCAACATAAAGATTTGATTCCAGCACCACATAAAGAATCACTTAAAGAATTTGATGGATTTCTCTTTCGTCAATCAAGAAATGCAATTGATAAACAATGGGACGAAACAAAAATCTTAGCTTTAACTGGAATTTCTAGACTTTTTAAAAATTTCATGACGATATTAATAAATTTTGATGGATTTCGACAATTATGGGAATTATTACTTTCCCAGTTAGAATATTTTTGTTTACATTCTAGCTTAGAAGTTTCTATAGCTACTATTAAATCATTTAATACAGTAATACAATGCCCTTTTCAAGACAAATTTCAATATGATAAACACAATAAAATTTACGAAAAAATATTACCATTTTGGCGAATAGCTTGGAATTTTTGGGAGAAAATAGGTTTAGGGATTATTACAATTTTAGATCAAGAAGTTGTTTCAAACATGAAATATTCAACTACGACGATACATTTTACACAAGATGCCCTTAGAATTTATCTTTTAATTTTTGGTGATATCTACAAAATAATTCATCCTGAATTTACGATACTTGAATTAAAAAGATTTTTTAAAATCTCTTATGGAATATTAACTTATCCTAATAGCCCATTTTATTTGTCAGACTCCGATTGTCTTTCACCGTTACAAGAATCTATATTAGAAATTATTGGTCAATTGAATTTAAGTTTTTCAGGCGTACCTGCAGCAGTTTTAGAAAATTTTGCGGATTATATTACGCTTGCATTCACAAAAAAACAAATGGATAAGGAATTGAATAATGGAATATACGGATCAGTTGAACAACAAATTGCAATAAAAGATGCAAACTCAAATAATAAACCTATAAATGAGGAAATTATTGGCATATCAACATCTAAAAAATCTTACTCGATAGTTTCTTATGTTGCATTTTCAAAAACTGTTATGCAATTGGTTAAAGATTTATTTAAAACTTATGTTAATGATCAAATAGTTTATTTGGATGGGGTTTTTAAAAAAATTATGAAGGTACGTTTCTTAAAAAGAAATTTTGAAATGCAATAAGATTAATTTTTATTTTTATTTTATAGGCATATAGTATTCCCATGAAATTGAAATATGATTGTCCTTTATCAGGAAAATATGATGATAATGCCGAACTTTGGAAAGTAGCATCGATTGCATTTTTGGATGTAGTAAATCATGGATTAAATGCTTTGGACCGTATTGGTGATGGTAAGTTTTAAATGTTACAATCATGTATGACCTGATAACATGCATCTTAATATTTTAGAATTGTTCTTTTAAAGCTATTTCTGAGGAATGTATCGTAAGCATATGGGAACAGATATTAGATGTTCTTCACAATATTTTAACACCTAAAAGGTATTTTTCATTCAAATTACATTGACAAAGAACAAATCATTAACCTTTTTTTCTTCTATAGCAAACCACCATCATCTATTCAAGTTGAACAATTAAACATTGATGAGTCCTTTGACATAAAATTTCTTTCAGATTTACAAACACGCGTATTAATTCATCTGGGTAATTCACGTGTTCCACAATCACTTATATTTAATGTGATAAAAATAATATACGAAGGATCAAAACTATATTATCCTGAGTTAGATAAACTAACAACTTGGAATGAAAGTATCGATGAAAATTTTCAATTACTTGATAACTTAGAAACCCCATGCTATAAACAATTGCTAAAAAATATTGATAGTACACCAGTTTTCGTTACTCCAGTAGAACGAGAAAGGTTTGCCTATGCTTGCTTACAATGTTTGTTTGAACTATGTTCTGATGAAAAAGATGGTAATCAATTATTTATTTTTTTATTTTTTAATTTATTTATGAAAATAAGCCTATTAATGTGTTTTTAGATTTTTTTGACATAAGACAAAGAATAGCTAAAGTAACTGCCCCTATCTTGTTAAAACGATGCGCTTTTGTAATTCATAATTATACTATTGATCAACCATTATTCGGAAGATGTCCTTTTCTAAGGTATGTTTATATTTAAATATTAATGAAAGAACCCCAATTTATTCTTTAATAATCTAGAATTTATTGAAAATTTCTTAGAGTAAGGAATGATGAAATATCATTCGTGTTGCAAAAATTGGTCAAGCTACGATTTCGGCAAAATATATTGAATTTTAATGAAAATTCAACTATTAGTAAGCTTTTATATTTCAATATTTGATGTTAGTTTATAATAATTTGTTATAGTAATCAAGAATTTGCTTTTATTCAAGATCTCTTAAAAAAACCCATTTTATCAGGTCAAAATGCGCATTTATTTTATTTGCATCCTGTCATAAGTGAAGCTATTTGTTTAAAAGATTCTAATATTGGTGAATTGTTAAAAGAATGTTTAAGAAAAATTGGAGAAGAACTGGGTGTTTATAAAATTACTATAAGACACATATAGTAAGTTGATATATAATAAAGTGGTAATAAAATAAACTTTATATATTTTTAAGAATGCCATAGGTGCATGCTCTTGGGACTGAACTTTAACGATATGTATTTAGAGAGCAATAAGATAAAGTGCATTTATGAAGGTCATATATATATTTGGACCTATGAATTTCTTCCTGATGAAAAATAGAAATACTTATTAAAAATGTTCAAAACTCCTAAAATCTTTATATAACATAAAAGTTGAACTATTATATTTAATCTTTTTTTTGGTCACAAACTTTATTCTAACCTTAAAAATATAAGTAATAATAATTACTATAGATGATTTTAAATATATTTCTTAATAAATAAATAAAATTTTTTTTTTAAATCTTATAAATCTTATACTAACGTTTGATCAAACCGAAAATCTTGCTGGAAGGGTCACCTGATCCTATGGGAATAATGAATTAAGAAAGTGAACGTTATAAAGCAAGAATTATCATTTCAATTGTATTCATGTGATTATGAAACTTGAATTTGCGATATAATAAAAGTATGGCTGAGCGAAGTACAGTAATGCCAACGTGGCTACCAGAAAAAACTGGTTAGCTATAAAAATTATTTTGATGTATCGGTATATAAAGATCACATATTAAACGACCAGGTCATGTAGGTGGCGCCATTAACTAATTCTTTTGCAACAATTGCTGTAGATAGTGCTATCCACATGACCCATAAAACCGGAGGCCGACCTGGTCGTTTTCACTTATTACGTTCCTGGCTTAAGTGTCTTATATTCATCTTTTCCTGGTTTAGCGTGACTTATTATATGGGCTGCTGTCAATAGAAATCAGGCAGATTGACAATTTTAAAAAAATCAATAACTTAATTTTTACAGCTCATATCTCGATGAATTTTGAAGCTAGTTTAATTATTCAATAGTCAAAAGAAAGCTTAGATCCCTAGCTTTCTTTTGAATATTAAATACTTAGGCTAACTTTAAAATTCATCAAGGTATGAGCCATGAACGTTGAGGTATTTGTTTTTTTTCAAAATGCCGACGGCAACCCCATATATTATTATAATTTTATAGTATTACGGTATCGCATTATTGCAATACCAAGGTGCAATAGTATAATGTTAGTCGAAATATATTCGAAATGTCAAAATCCTAAATTTGACTAAATGCTTAAATAGTTGACTAAATAAGATATTATATGACGAATGTCTAAATTAGTGATAAAGAGGGCTTGTATATTAAAAATAACCAGTTTTTGGTTGATAGTAATCCAGATCCATGTTATAAACATTTAGTATAGTGAACACTGTGTGAAAGCAGATGTCCTATATATAATTAAACCTGCTTGATAAGACAAGCACTGTTTTTGATCAAATCTATTTGTATATAGCACAAAAAAACAAGTTCGGACACTTGTAATAAATAGGTATATATATATATTTTTAATTTAGGCATTTCGACATTTCGACATTATTTAGACATTTCGGCATAATTTAGAATTTCGGCATGAACAGGGACGGTGAATACTTCCATTCCATTTTATTCCAACATCAATTGACCAATCAAAACTTGTATCTAGCACTAGATGCAAGTTCTGATTGGTCAATTTATATCGGAATTTAATGGAATGGAAGTATTCACCGTCCCTGATATGGAATTTCGGCAGACTAAATTTTGCAAGGATGGTAAATGACCTGGTCATTTGATCAAAATTCAAATCCTAGGTCATCAAATAATGATCAGGCCATTCAGGTAATTTGTATATAGAATAATTCGAATTACTCATAAATTATCGAACCCTATCGCTATTACTGTATTACTTTCCTAATTCTGTAATTGTAGATTGTGTTTGAAGACCAATTCTGATTGGTTAAACGGTATTAGAAACATATCGATATGTTAAATGACCAAAGTCATTTAGGCTTCGAAATGACCCAATGACTACGTCATTTGGATATGTAGGCGTTCAACCATTTAATATTTATAGCAATGGATTCTATGCCATAATTAATTCTACCATGCCCACCATTTTTAATAGTACGCACTTGCAGAACCCTAATACCGGTATATTACCAGTATAAAACTGTAAAATTGACCAAGTATATAAAGGTTGATTTTTTCGTTCACACTTTCGATACTCTCAGGAGTTTTTCGAGAAAATGGTTAGACAGCGTGTTGCTATCATCGGAGCCGGTATGCTAAAATAAGTTACATATCGGTATAATTTAAATAGTTATTATGATTAACAATTTTTAAAACAAACATCAAGGTTCATCAGGTTTAGCAGCCCTAAAACAATGCCTCGATGATGACTTGGATCCAATATGTTTCGAACAAACATCTTATGTAGGAGGTCTTTGGAATTTTGTTGAAGTTGATGACAAAAATAAGGATCCACATTCATCGGCTTATAAAAGCCTAGTTATTAACACTTCTAAAGAAACGGTGTGTAACTTTATGGATATTTGCATTATATCCATTGATATGGATGAGTAATTTTTCGGTTTATCATAAATAGATGACATTTTCAGATTTTCCAATCCCTGCGGATTGGCCACCTTATTTACATAACACACTTGTTGCCAAGTATTTTTATTTATTTATTTATTTATTCCACATTCTGTTAATAAAATTACTTACTATGTCTACCTTCCATTGAAAAAGGTACTTTAACATGTACGCTGACAACTTTAAACTTAGGAAATATATCAAATTTCATACAACTGTTGTTCGTGTATCGTACCTTCATGATCATCGTTGGAAAGTTAAGTATACTACTTCTGTAAACGAAAATCGAACTGAAGAAAATCACAGTAATGAACATGAAGAAATATTTGATTTTGTTATGGTTTGTAATGGGCATCATAGGAAACATAGGTGGCCTAAATATAAAGGCATGGACGTATTTAAGGGAGAGCAAACTCATTCGCATTTTTATAGGCGGTAAGTAAAGAACGAATAAATAAAAAAAGATATAAAATGGGATGTTTTCAATTACGGAATTATCGATGCTGCTCATTAATTTCTTAATGTTTAAGTGAATTAACTTTAATATTCGGAAATGTTATCAATCGCATTATTGCATGTTCTGACTAATGATACAGTACCCTAAACGATGATTTATTTTTTTAAAAATAAATTTTACTAGATCTGCGTGTTTCGAAAACAAGCGTGTTGTTGTAGTTGGAATTGGTAACAGGTATATTATTAATTTCGGTTATATATACTTTAATATAAATCTAGCTTTTGTAACCTTTTTTTATAGTGGAATTGATATTGCCGTCGAATTGTCTCACGTCGCATCACAAGTGTATTTATGTGTTCGTAGAGGTAACCAACTATCACTGCTATATTAATTCATTGTGTTCTCCTCTCAGTTGTTACTATTTAATTCGTTATTCGATAGGAATACTCCCGTGGATATTACCACGCCTGATCGGTGGAAAGCCAATCGACCAATTAGCGACTCGTTTTTCTGCTTATTTCCTTCCAAATTCCCATTCAACTTTTACAAAGCTTATCCAACAGACTGTTGGCCCCCATCCGCCGTCTCTCCAACCAACCACTCCATACTATTCTTCACATCCGACTTTAAAAACAGAATTTTTCGAACGCCTTAGTACCGGAACTATTATTGTAAAAAAAAACATTTTAGAATTAATGTCTGACGAAACAAAGTCAATTAAATTTGTTGATGGTTCTATCGTGGAAAATATTGACACGGTAATTTACGCAACTGGTTATAATATAGATTTCCCATTTTTAGATAGGGAAATTTTTAATGGTGGTCCAGAAATTGAAAAAGAATTTGAAGATGAGTATAAAGAAAACTTAACATGGATGTATAAGATGATGTTCCCGCCAAATTATCGTAATATCGCGTTCATTGGTTTGGTCCAACCAATTGGTGCTATTTTTCCTATTGCGTACGTAATTGTTATTATTTGAAACATTGTAGTAGCATCACATCATGCTAAATCCTATTTCACTCTATTATTTTCATGAAAAGCGAAATGCAATCTCGTTATGTGACAAGTTTGATTAAAGATTTAATTAATCCACTCCCATCACCTGAGAAAATGAATATCGCAATTAGAAATTATCATGAAAAAATCAGGAAGCAATACTATTTATCAGCAAGACATACAATCCAAGTTGATTATCTTGGTTACCTTGATGAATTGAGTCAAGAATTAGGTTGTTATCCTTATTCTTTAGAGATATTAAAAAAATTTGGTTTTAGAATATTGAGACTCGTTTTATTTGGAATTAGAACCCCTATTCAGGTAAGTTTGGTAAAGATTGTCAATTTTGTGAATATGTTGATACTAAAGCTAAATATCTTTTTTTAGTATCGATTACTTGGAAGACAATGTTGGGAGGGTGCTGAAAATACGCTTATGATTTATAATAAAATAAATCCAAACTAGAGACCACAGACATATGCGATCACATAATAAGCGCATAAAATACGATTGATTTTTATCAAATTCACGTGATCTGTGCGGCATTTGTGTGAACATTTGTAAACGAATAATAAAAGCATATTTGGGTCAGTCTGTACCGTTATCGGGCTTCGGGACAATTCCTTAAATTGAGAAATCGATGTTTAATCAATTTTAATAATTCAGCTAAAATTAGAAACCTGCATATCACATGAATACTGAGCATAGTAATTTTACCTTTAGTGTTTATTCATATTAGTAAAATTATCGTAATGAATTATATTGTTAGCTAGAATATAACTTAAATACTAATAAATTTATCATTATAAACTATATTATTGACTAAGTGTGTATTAAATATGTTAATAAAATTATAAATAATTCGCTTGTTCTTTTTTTATTAATTAATTTTAAAAACCGTAATGGAAGTTATTAATAACATAGAACAAGAAGATATATACAACATTGTGTCTTCATTCGTTGAATTAGAAATGGATGAATATGATGAAACTGATAGTATTATTTGTCAAAATGTTCAGGAATTGTGGGAATTTTGATAGCAAAAAGAGTGCACATGTCAAAACAAAGATAACAAAATTTGTTATGAAAAGATTGGATTCTGTAAATGTTTTAAAAGGCAAGAAATGTATCATAATATGTTGCATAATAGTTTAAATAATTGGATTAAAGGACAACTTGCATAATCATATTACTTATCAATATTGTTATAATGCTTAACATATAGTATGTTTACCTACTTATATAGTATTAACTAAAGTTTTTTCAAGTCATCTTAACTGAATTAAAACATATATTAAAAATAATAGTATAGAAGAAATAGTATATGGTAATACATATAAGACATAGTTTTATTCAATCTAATTATGTAACTATTAATTAAGAAATCTTATAAGAGATTAATAATTTTATTCATAACTATGCAAATATTTATAAATTTCTATTATCAGGTCAATATATATGACAAAATGCTATGTTAGTTATTTTACTTCCAACTGGTACAATGTAATATAATGTTTATTTTTATTTTTTTTATTTTTATTTTTTCAGTATTAAGGTGACCTCTTTGGTCTTTTGATTTTTTATTAATATTTATATTGAAAACATATTCATACAGATGTATCTATATTAAACTATTAGACAATTGTACAACTGGCTACATGTGTAACTTTTCTATATTACCTATTTAAGAAATCTGTCTAAAGGTTTTTACCAGTTGCTGTATCTAATATCTCTGTTTAGGTGTTTTATTTAAGTCTTCTGATCTGATCCTGGTATTAACTTTACCAGGTTACTTAATCTGGATCCTTTTATTTCAATTTTAGAACTATTTTATCCTCAAAGTAAACCTATCAAAGTGAGTTATATATTTTCTATCTACTACTAACTTAGATTTTCTGTTATGGTCAAAACTAACACTTACAGTCAGAGTTATTTATTAAATCACTATTATTCTTATAAAGTTTACCCAAACCCTGGTATCCATCTTCCTGATATTTTCTTTATTATTCTTTATTAACTGCAACTTAGAACTGATTAACTTCCAAAACTTTTAATCTAAATGATCCAGTATAGTATATTTATATATCTTTTTTCTTTAGCAATTTTGGTGGCCTGGTTGATACATATATTTTTCTTACATACCTGTTATCTAGTTTATTCGACAATTTCTATAAAAGTGTTTTATAAACTTCCATTAGTTTAACAGTACTATCAAAAATTTATACTATATCTTTATTCAAAATTTCTAGTAGGTTTCTTTCTTCTCAGTTTTTTAGTCTTCTATATTTAGTGGTCTTATTATAGATTTGTACCAAAGCCTTATATAATACCAGTTTTTTATATTTCTCTATATATGTGTAATGTTACACTTTGCATAGATGTTCTAAGCTCCAAATGTCAAATGAGGCCTAACTTGGTGTATCTAAGATTACAAATGCCCAAAACCCAACTAATCAGCAAAAAACAGTTACTGTAATACAGATATAATTTTCAAAATTCATCATCTATAAGAATTAAATCTTAGATCTGCCACTAGGAGTTGATAATCTATTTACTTTACTAGGTTACCACATTTCTGTAATATAATGTTTATAAATTTTATTCAATTAATAAAAGATAATAATTATAAGATTATGAATTATAAGATATTTCTTTAAATTTAAAAAAGAATAGTATTAGAAATATGTTTAATATCAAAAATATCAAACTTGTATAATAAATATGAACAGCTTCATACTGAAATTTAGATTACTAGTAATATTAAAATTAAACAATATCTTTATAAACTTGATTATATAGCTACAAAGATTGTCAATACTATGATAAAAATATTATAATTAGTAGACAATTAAAATCTAAATTTATTTATATTTGTTATAATTAGATTCAAAATATTTAAATTACTTATTTATTATAACAACCTGATAGATTATTTTTTAAATTACTTTTAATATTTATATTTTTGAAATTACTAATACTGGATTTAAATCTGCAATACAACAAAATATAAGCATTAATACCACTTTTAATCTTATATATGATACTTTATATTATTAGAATCTAATATAAAAAATCTAAAACTAATATATAATAACTGTGAAGGTCAAAATAAAAATAATCTTATACTTTGGTTTTACTTATAGCTTATTCTTATTAAATGATTTGATATAATCAAATTAAATTTTATGATTCTTGAAAACACAAAGTTTATTTGTGATTCATATTTTAGAATAATCAAATCTGTTTATTATAAATTTAATATTATAAGTATAAATCATATTAAAACTATTATTAATTAATTAAAGTAATATAACAGTTAGGTATAATAATAAAGTTTAGATAAAATAAAATTATTCTAATTTTAAAAGTTTTTTAAAAGTTTTTTTATAAAAATTAATAGTATATATATATATTAGTATTTTTATTTTTATTATGATTATTCTGAAAAAGTTTTTATATTATTAAAAGCTAGTAGTTTAAAGAAAAAGTCTATTATTTATAATAATGTTTATTTTAACTCTTACTAACTTTTAGATATAATTTCTTTAAAACCTTTATTTACAAAACATCAGACACAACTATTCAAAGATATATTTTTATAATTTATAATCTACACAAAAATAAATTATGTTTTGATCTAAGTAAGCAATAATACTATATACTATAAACATTTTGTAATTTATATTAATTATTAATTAATTTGTATTATAAATTTAAAAATAATATATTATTTTACAATTGATAAAGAGATTTGTTAATGCTACTTTCTATTTTTGCTAATAATACCTCTTTTATATAAAATGTTTAATCTCTGACTTTTCAAACTCTAATTGTTAATTGGTGCTAGATTGAAATGGGGTCCCGTAGCCTAGTGGTCTAGGCGCCTCTCCCTCCACAGACAAGGTCGATGGTTCAATCTCAGCTGGAGGCAACTCTGTAATCTACGGAAGCATATGAATGTACACAAAGCCCTGTGGCTAAGTCCATGTGATTAGAAGATCAGTATATAAGGAAGTTCCTGGAAAAAAGATTCCCGATATGGAGAGTTGGCGCTTGATATGAGAGAAGCAGTGAACATACCAGAAATAAAGAGAAGGTGCACTAGCGGCTGATACGGTGAACATAAAATGAAACTATGAAAAATGAATAGACTTACTGAAATTTGAATACTTCTGGCACCAAACCAGTTCTAGTAGATACAGGATCTACTAAAATTGGATAAATCTAAGGGGTAATCTTAGGATTATACTTAGTAAGTCTGCGTCGAGGGTAAATTCGAGGGACTATAGATACCTGGTAACATCCAATGAGATGGTACCTTGATATAAATAGTAATTAGATAGCCCTAACCTGACATGTCCATGTGGTAATAGAAGCATTGCATATATGCAATAGG